GGCAGCTGCTCCTTAACAAGAGCTCCAAGGAAGAGGTCTGTGGGAAGGGGTGGCAACATGAAGACACAGTTTGGATGCGAGTTTGTCCTCTCTCCATGTAAACTGATTCTAATATTGTAAAAGTCACTTCATTTTTTAACAGTTTTATTGCGATATCATTTAAATACCATACAATTCACACATTTAAAATGTATATTTTAATTGGTTTTTAGCATATTCACAGATATGTGCAAACATCACCACAGACAATTTTAGAACATTTTTATGATCTCAGAAGAAACTGTAATATCACCTGTCTGTCTTCATCCCCTCCAGCTCTCAGCAACCACTAATCTTCTTTGTATCTCCATAGAGTTGCTTTCTCTGAACATTTCATGTAAAGGGAATCATATAATATGGAGTCTTTTATGACTGGCTTCTTTTATTTAGCACTATGTTTTCAAGGTACATTTATGCTGTAGAATGTATTAATACCCCATTCTTTTTTATGGCTGAGTAATATTCCACTGTATAGATATACTACATTTTTGTTTATACATTCATTTGTTGATGCACATTTGGGTTGTTTCTACCTTTAGTTATTATAAATATGTTGCCATAAGCATTCTTGTATAAGTTTTGTGTGGACATACACTTTCATTTTATTGGGAATATACCTGAGAGTGGACTTTCTGGGTCACGTGGTATCTCTATATTAACCATTTAAGGAATCGCCACAGTGTTTTTCAAAGTGACTGCATCATTTTACATTTCCATATGTAGTGTATGAGTGTTCTGAATTTTACACATCCTCACCAATACTTATCTGACTATTTTTTATTCTAGCCATCCTAGTCAATGAGGAGTGATTTCTCATTGTGGTATTGATTTGCATTTCCTTGAATATAATGCTATTGAGCATGTTCTCATGTGCTTATTGGCCATTTTTATATCTCCATTGGAGAAACATCTGTCTTTGCCCATATTAAGTGGGTCATTTGTTTTTTTAAAAAATATATTGTTATTGATTTCAGACAGGAAGAGAGAGGGAGAGAGAGATAGAAACATCAATGAGGAAAGAGAATCATTGATTGGCTGCCTCCTGCATGCCCCCTACTGGGGATCAAGCCCACTACCTGGACATGTGCCCTTGCCCGGAATCAAACCCGAGACCCTTCAGTCCTCAGGCTGATGCTGTATCCACTGAGACAAACTAGCTTGGACAGGTCACTTTTATTTTTTATTGAGTATAGGAGTCTTTTCATATTCTTGTACAAGTCTAATATTACACATATGATTTATAAATATGTTCTCCTATTTTGGGGGTTGTCTTTTTATTTTGTTGATTGTGTTCTTTGAAGTACAAGTGCTTTTAATTTGGATGTTGTCCAATTTGTCTTTTTCTTTTATTGCTCATATGAGAGTTCATTGCCAAACCCAAGGTCATAAATTTTACTCCTACATTTTATTCCAAGAGTTTTAAGGTTTTAGCTCTTACATTTGAGTGTTTGATTTATTATGAATTGCTTTTTGTGTATGGTGTGAGGTAAGGGTCTGACTTTACTTTTTTCATGTGGCTATCCATTTGTTCAAAACACTATTTCTTGACCATTCAATGGTTTTGACATCCTTGTTGAAAATCAGTTGACCATGGACACACGGTTTTATTTCTAGGCTCTTAATTCTAATCCATCAATCTTTATGTCTATCCTTGTGCCAATACCACAGTCTTGATTACATTATTTTGTAGATAGGTTTTGAAATCAGGAGGTGTGAGTTCTCCAGTTTTGTCTTCTTTTTCCAAGCTTGTTTGGGCTATTATGATTCCATTACAATTCTATATGAATTTTCTATATAGTGAATTTTAGAAATCAGCTTATCAATTTCTACAAAGAAACCAGATGAGATTCTGGTAGGGGTTGCATTGTATCTATAGATCAATTTGCGAAGCATTGCCATCATAACAATGTTAACTCTTCTTATCCATAAATTGCTTCTATTGGTGTAAAAAAACATTTTGTGCTGTCTCTTTGTTTGCCTTTGTTCAGTGTTTTTTTATTTTACTGGTCATGTGTGAAAACAGAGCATAATAGGGAAATATAGAATTGAAGTACAGTGGTATAGACAAGGAAGAGTAATTAAGGAATAGAACATGGTTCCTGTGAATATATCCAGGTAGAACAGTTCCCTGCAAGATCCATCTTTTGTTAGAAGCAAATACTAGAGGCATTTCATTCCAGCGCCTCATTTGGGGTCATCTCTTTCTTCCACAAGCTGCAGCCCCTGGGCTCCCTTCCTTTTTAATGCTGTGGCTGCCATGGCAACGGTTCATATGGGCTGGAAGAGAGAAGATGAGGCCTCTCTGGAGCCATCATTAGTGCTACTCTGGCCAGCAGGGGGTGCCAAGAAGAGCAGCCACTCGCACCTTCTTTTTCTAACTACTCAGACCCATGAACGCCCAGTACCTGGCACTACCTGAGCGGTGGCCTGTGTACACTACAAAAGGAGATCATGAACTCTCTTGAGGGATTTTTTAGAATTTGTGAGGATTTCACTAAGAATTCATATCAGAACACAATTTATGAGTGATTAACCAGAGAGGAAAATTGAAACTTTCCAATTCTAACTACAAAATATATTTCCAGAAATCAGAGAGCAGTTTCTTATTTTTTATTTATTTATTTTGGCTACACAGATTTACTTTTTACATTTTCTGCACTCAGAAGATTCACACATGTTAGATTCTCTCCTCTTTATGCACAGAGCGTTGAACATCCTAGGCAATTAATAACTGTTTATTAAGTTGAATTCAAATGCCCAGTCCCCAGGTGCTGCAGCAAGTCCTGATTCCATTCAGCGTATAGCAGTGGATCACCCACCAATGCTGTCCTAACACCAGAGTGGGAATTTCAGGAGGACACAGGGCCATTAATTCCATTGCATGTATGCATCAGAATATTTTACCTCACACGGGTGAGCAGGTGAGCACCTATTAAATTAAAATGTTATGCCAAATATGCTTTAAAAGAACAGTGAAGAACAAGGTAATGGTCTCCTATTACCCTCCCACAATAGCATCGTGGGGATAGTCATGAATTTATATTTCTGGATTGATATTATGTGGAATAGTTTGCACATCTCCAGTCTGTGAGCTTAAAATCTCCAGGTCTTTGATGCCTGTGACTGGCAGTTTTTGCCTTTGCAAATTCTTTAGTATGCAACCAATGCTGCATGATGCACATAGTTGACTAAATATTTATCAAATATTCATACAGTTACTCAGCAGATTAATTATTGAACAAGCTTCCACAAAACTATCTTTCTTTGCTACAGCTAATTCTCTATTGACATATGTTCTGAGGAGCTAGGGAAATAGCCATTTCAGCAAATTTTACTACTTTCAAGGTTATGCATTTAAGTGTGAGAAAGCAAGACACACATGAAAGCCCACATCACTGATTTGAATTGCTTAAAAGATTTAAAGATATAGATGCACCTCCTAATGTTTTGGGGTGGGTATTTTTGCCTTTTGAATAAATTTAATTTTTAAAGTATACGTTAGCCCTAGCCAGTTTGGCTCAGTGGATAGAGCATCGGCCAGAGAACTTAAGGGTCCAGGGTTCAATTCTGGTCAAGGGCATATGTCTGGGTTGTGGGCTCAAACCCCAGTAGGGGTCGTGCAGGAGGCAGCCCATCAATGATTCTCTCTCATCATTGATGTTTCTATCTCTCTCTCCCTCTCCCTTCCTCTCTGAAATCAATAAAAATATATTTTTTAAAAATAATAAAATATAAAGTATATTTGAATAACCTACTAACTGACAAAAGGTATTCTTTAAATAACTAAAAATAATTTCCATTCTGACGTATTACACAATATTCTCCTGTGCATGATTTCATTGATTTTTCCATAGGAAACCCAAGATCATGTCTCTATTCCCATTTTTCAGGCCAATGAGGTTCTCAGTTACCCACTAGTTTTCCCAAATTCACACAGACAATAAGTGGCTAAGTTGGCACTGGAACTTGTGAAGAATAGGTTTGTACATTAAAGGGAAATAATGGAAACATTTGCTATTGGATAAATAGATTTTTTATTTTAGCAACTTTTTTCACCCATCTATGTATTCTGAATTGGAGTTATACTAGCACAGTTCTTCACTTGTTTTTGACAGGCTATACCAAAAATAAAAAAGGTTCCATTTCCATATACCAGATGAGAAGAAATGGGGGAGAGGGGACCTGAAACCTTTGGCCGCTCATCAGGCAGCTGTTCTATAGCATCGGACAAAGGCAGGATGAGCAGGTTGCCAGTGATCAAGTGATCACATCGTCATCAAAACTTGGTGACTGTATAGGGGACTGTAGAAATAAGAAGGGGGTTGGAAAGGGATACCAACTATTGTCACCATCCAACTGTGGCACAGTTTTAAATGTATTGGACTTTTGGATAATTACATGGGATTTGCACTCCTCAGAAGACTATCAGTTCCTTTATGAAGCTGAATTCAGCTTTCAGTTCGATCTGGGTAATTTATATCTCCTTCACAGAAGAAAAGCAGATACTGTGTATCATGCATCTCAGCATTTCTATTTTCAAATCCAATGCAGCGTTCTGATTTCCACTCCTTTTAATTGGGTCAAGTTTTTTTTTCCCCCCATTAAACTTTCTTAACAAAACTTTATAGTTTACTTCTAAATGCTACATCTGTTAATTTTTTTTCCCTAACAACATTATCATAATCTACCCATTTGGTGATCTGCTTAAAACCTTAAAAATAGGAATTTAAACAATATTCTTGGTATCATAGTAAATGAATACATTGAAACAAAGCATTCAAACTTGTTTCCAAATTACCCTTTTGTGAAGAAATGTTTAAAAGCACACTTTTCTATAAGCATGATAATTAATATTTATTATAAATAGGTCAGGGTTTCAAGATTACTGACCAGCCATTAATTGCTAATGTATTGGTCCAAATAAGAAGTAATACAGGTTACAACATTATCAGCAGATGTGTTCATGTTGTAAAACATGAGTGGTATATGTAATTGGTTGTAAGTAATACAAATGCTTGGCATAAACTCTTGAGACTTCCAATGTGGAGATGTTTGGTGAAAAGCTTTGCAATCCACTGGCATGCACCATTCTTTCATTCAAGACAAATATGTGGGTGGAATCAGCAGGAGTCCATTCTGGTTTTCAGAGAGTGCCCTGGAGCTGTCCACCAGAAGGTGCTGGGAAAGGCAACCACAGATGGTCCAGGTACACAATCACTTCAGCCTGAATCAGAATAAGCAGACTCGTGTTAGAGTGTTGCTACACTGTGTATGACCCGGAAACTGCTTCTTGACAGTTGCAAGGCCACCTTCAATGTCCTTTAATAATTATAAGGAAAAGATGTTTTCTCTACAAAATAGGGAGACGATTCAAATAAAACAAGGAATCATGTATTTTGTCCCGAGATATAAATGCCATTCCTAATAGGTACCTGGCTGAATTGCTAAATAAGTGGCATTTTATCCCAGAATATTTAAGTCCTTTATCGACGAATGTAAGTTCAGACTTTATGGGTTTTCCTAGTATTTCCAACTCCATGTTGGAAAAGCAAACGTCATTTTTAAAATTAGCTATTTACGCCCAATAGAATCGCCCTCCTAGTAAACTGAATGGAAAAGCGGACAAAAACATTTGTAGGTTTAGCAATATACAAGGACTGACTTTCAGATCCATCGTAAAGGTCAGATGTAATATTCAAAAACAAATTAAAAGGCAGCCACTCTATTGGACTCAGAAGATTCCAGCAAGCGCTGGGCACCCATGGGCATTGGTTCAAAATGTGTTTATTGTGATCACGCCCCAGATGATGCTGCAAGCACTATTAAGGACCCTATTCACTACCATCCTTCTGCATTATGTATGCAGTTATTGTTTTGCATTATGCACTATCTAAAATGATACAAAAACATTTTGCTGAAAAATAAACCACTGGTTTTATGCTTAACACCAGGATTACAAAATGTGATGTCATGAATTATTCATATCATTCGAGTTAATGTAATCATTTTCTCCTCAGCGCTAAGCCTCTCTGAATAGTGTCCTATACAGCCACTGTTTTGAAGAACTTAATACTAGGGGGAGAAACACCTGGCATTAACTGACAGTGAATTAGGCTCATTGTCACTTTGGGGGGGGGAACTGCAATTTAATATTTGATCTTCTGTACATCCTAATTTCAGGGAGCATTTGTCAACACTACAAAATGAACCAACCTTAGAAATTTGTAGAAATATTGACCTTGACATTTAGACATAGATCTATATAGAAGTAAACACACACACATTTGAAATTTGGAATATAGAATGGAATTCATCTTTGTTTCTTCCAAAGCAATCATGTGATATAGTTTGAATGAGTTTATGAAAATAGGAAATCAACTTTGATACACATTTATAATTTATTTAGAACAAATCTTTCAAAGAAGCACTGACCTTAGTACAAAGCATGTTGAGAAAGATAAACACATCATTGCAACTTGGGCTACAGATTGAAGTAATGTATCTTCAAGACCAAGATAAAATATGCTTCTGAATGTTTGAAACTTTATAGAGAAAAGACGAAGATTGGCTTAAGACTGGTAGCAGCAAATTTTTACATTGAGAATCCCCTTCTGTTTGCCTACCTTTGACTTTTTATCCATGTTATAACATCATAAAGTTATACCTGAATGTTTCCACTACTCTTGAATTAGAAGATGTGTCATTCTGGGATTGAATATATGATCGTGTTATGTGAGAAGAGCAGAGTCCAACAAATCTGATTCCTAATTTCAGCCCCTTGCACTGCCCAGCTCCTGCGCATCTAAAAGTGATGATATCACCTACCCAGCAACCCTGAGGATGGTGGACGGAGCCTCAAATGACATTATAATGTGATGTAAAACATGTCAAAAACCCTGAAGTGATCCACAAATATGAGGAGCTATTATTTAAAACAAAAAATGTCTATGACCCATATACAGTTGTAATCTACAGAAGTGGTAGAATGGATAAGTAAAGATATTTATAGTTAAGAAAAACCTTAGGAATGCAATTACTTAGGAAAAAGAAAAACATAGCAATTTAAGAATGGAGTTGTATCCAAATCTATATGGAATAACTCACTCATATAATTAATTAGCAAAAGGATGAAAAGTTTGGACATTGTGTCAGGAATAATCACAATTGCATTCCAGAACAATTTTCATCTCTCCCAACACCCAGCATCTTGCATACAGTTGGGATTCAGCCACCATTGCCTGATTAATAATGAAGAAAGACAAATACTGTGGTCAACCCAACAGTGATTGAACATTCATTTATTATAAGGTCAATATAAGATCTGTTCGATTGCTCCTCTGTAATAACAAATGCCTGGAGAACTTGAAACTCAGTCTTTATCAAGTAATAACAAATTGGCAATGTTCGCCACTTCCCAAAACAGCAGTGGGGCATTTTAAGGGGTGGGTGGAGGTAGTGGAGAGGGGTGGATGGCAATGACTCCTTAAGTTAATGACTTATTTGATTGACTTCTATACCATATTCTCTTTTCTACTTAAGAGCTTCAATAAAGGAACATTTCTCTTTCCCCTAAATAAAAATTATTAGGCGTTCTGTTTTTCAATCTTAGAAGCATACTTCAACTGGCCTCATTAATATTGTGAAATGGGCCAGAAGAAACCATGTCACATTAGAAGAGCTGCCTTTCCTTTCGCTTCAACAGCACCTTGACCTTCTCCAGCAGTCACATCCTGTGCCTCTATCATGATTCTCACTGCTTCCCAGGGCGACCGCCTGGTGTCCCAAGGGCCTGGGGCCACAGGGTGGTCCCCAGAGACACTGAACAGGAAGCCTCTCGGGTCAGCCCTTCATTTTCTCACTCACACACTCACAGTTTCAAACAATTATCATGTGTTCAAATGCGCCACCCCACCAACCCCCCAAAACAGATTTAGCTTAAAAAAAAATTCTGTAGGACGGAGAACCAGAGCTGGTGCTTTAAGCCTCTCAGTGAAGCTACAGCCTAATTACTGCCTGCTGCGTGGCGCAGTTAAACACAATCAGTCAGAAAGCCTTAAAGATACAATATCCCTTTTCACAAACTGTCTGCTTGTCAATTCCAAGTCACCCCCCTGCTTTAAATCAACCAACCACAGAGCTGTTATGAACAGCAGCTGATTTTCCATGCAGCGCTGCAAAACAAAATCACACCGTATCCTATTTTTAATGGCCACAGTTTTTCAACTGCATAACAAGAGTTAGCTGGCACTGCTGAGCTGAACGGTATCAAAAAAATGGGCTCAAGTAGAAATAGCATGGGACCCTTGAAGTGAACAAGTACAGACCCAATTACAAGAGCATTGTGGTGCTCAGTGCCAATTACATCCAAATAACAGTGGAGCAAATTTCCCCGTAATAGTTACATTGTAGGCATCAACTTCTTTTATTTTTGTTCCTCCAGGATGCAGCTTGATACTTAAAAGGGGGGAAAGGCTGAATCATAAATATTATTTTATTAACACACAGTCTATTTATGCACAAAGTCTTTTCTGGGATGCGAGTCTGCAGACGTGGTACCTCCGTCAACACAGAGAGAAGACTTCTGCCTCTTCCCACAGAGCTCATGGGTTGCCAGGAGGTTCACTTGGGAAAAATCGGTTTCTTCCTTGTGTGTGGCTCATTAGAAATGACCTTTCAACCTTTCATCAAACAACAGGTTTTGAAATTACTTAAGACTTAGGGATACAAACAGGCAGTAAAGGGGTTCTTTTCTTTTTTTAAGGAAACCTGGCCCCATCTCCAAGGTAGTGGGTAAAATTGGCATTCTATGAACTGAGCCTGGGCTGGTGGGCGTGGACGCATGACAGACACCTTAATAGCTAGAAGAAAAGAAAAGAGAGACATGAGAAAACAAATGAAGAGGTGAAAAGGAAGGTGCATTTAACAAATTGACCCTTCAAACCTGGGGTCAAGATATGGGAAAAGAGGAGGCAAGAGAGACCAGGTTAAACAAAGCCAACAACGAAACGTCGTGATAGACTATGTGTCGTACTTTGTTGACTCTCAGAGAATCAGAGAAACAGTGGCTTTTCCATGGCGTCCTACCTCACCCTGGACCACACCCTGTCCCTGTGGTCACCCAGCGGTGCTGGAACCGTCTGCCACAGACAGCCAGCTTCCTTTGTTCCTTCAGTATCAACTTCCCTTTCCGTTTCTTCCAGGCCACTCCGGGCACTGGCAGTAGGACAGGGCCCCGTCTCTTCAAGGCTGGCCACTGAGGCTGGAGGACTACAGTGAGGCGAATTAATGATGTCCCCGGGGCTTTATCCATGTGCTGCAGGGGATGCGAGCACAGCGAGAGCCGGCAGACCTTTCTTCCTTCGCCGCTTTGCTCTGCTCGCTTTCTCTCTAGCTGGAACCATGAGATGGGTCATGTGATCCAAGCTGTGCATCATTTGCTCTTTCCTCTCTTCCCATTTAGCGTGAGCTTCATCCGGAAGCATAATAAACCAAAATGTCTTCTTTGAGGTTGTAAGATAAGATTTAAGTTCTTTAAACGCTCTCATCGGGAATAAAAGATCAAAAGACATGCCGCTAATTACAAATAAATGTTAAAAAAACTGGGAACACATCCAACCCTCTCATGTTAGAAAGGAGGAAACTGAGGCCTCAGAGGAACGTGAACTCCATAAAACATTTATCGTCAGAAAGCGACGGCATCAACAGCCAAGACCATGGGCCCTGACTCCAAGACTCGTGGTAGCAGTGGGAATGCTATTTATTCTACACGGTGACTCACAAATCTAGGTTCTGCGAACTACAAAAAGCCTGACTCAGAACTCCAGGGAGTAAGGAGCTAACGGGACTTGAAATATAGGCCAGAGATTGTGGTATGAGGATGTCTGTAGATAAGCAGCATTGGGTATGTGTATGCATCCACTAATGAATTATGTGTCTGGAACTTCCTACCATTAACCAAAATAACCTTTGACGGCAGTCAGCATATGTACTTCGAGCTATTTTTGGTGAAAGGGAGGAAGAATCAGAGGGATAGCTGAGGCGGGGGAGCAGTGGCAAATGAGGAGACAGACTCAGGCAAGGACATGAAGATGGACCCTGTGAAGGGCATGGGCCTGGGGGAGGCCAGCGAGGGCACAGGGAACCAAGGCCCCAGATCCACCAGCAACCCAGGCCCAAGTCTTTGTCTGTCTCTGCCGACTGTCTCTTTGTCCCCTGGAAGGTAAA